AATCCAGAGCCTGTGCTCTTAACTCCTACTCCACACTAAACAAAGTCATTCCAAGATGAGTCCTCTTCGTCTGAGCGGATCTGGGGTCAAGTTATTCCACACGAAAATTTGAGTTTAAAAAAAAAAAAAAAAGAAAATTTGAGTTTAACAAATATTTAGGCCAGCCTCCTCTGTTTATACTTGAATACTATTCAATGCTAACTCAACATTAAAGGGTAGATCAACTTGGTGGTTTTAGGAGCTGTATACTGATGCGTCAGGCAAACCGGTCTTCGGGCCTGGCTGCACAGACTAGCTGGGTGACCTGACCTTTTCTGAACCTCAGTTTACACATACGCAAAATGGGAACAGAAACAGCAACTACTTCCCCGAGGTGTTTACAACTTTAATGCAAGGATTTATGTAAACCAGGCAGTTCTCATTAAGTGTTAACTGGAAGTAATGGAAGCCATTGAAAAGAGATCAGAAGAGTAGAAAGCGGAGCCTGTCCCTGGGTGACCCAGCAGACATCCGAGGAAGGATTCCGCACCCCCACCCCGCATTAGGGGCAGTCGCCCCCGCCCCCACCGCCGTGGGAACCCGCCCTTACCGCTCTTGGGTTTAGACTCGCCGGCCGGCCCGGCCGAGGCAGAGCGAGGCGGCTGTTGCCCTTTGCTGCTGGCCGAAGAGGCGGAGGAGCTGCTGGAGCCGCTGTTCTTGTCCATGTCGGAGGCGGTGGCGGCGGCGCTGGGAGAGCTCTGCGGCATCAACGGGGGCCTTGGCGGCAGCGGCGGTCGGAGCGGAGCGGGCGCGGCGGGGACCCAGGCTCATGGCGTTCGGGGCCGGCGGGGGTCGGCGGCGGCAGCGGTTCTCGGCCTTCATGGCGACATTTTTCCCTGTTTCCTTTCTCGGCTTCTCAAACTGGAAGGAGAAGCGGCTGGAGGGGCTGTTGAGCCCGACGGCGGCGGTAACCAAGAAGGAGAAGGAGGCCGGGGCTCGGAGGTCCGGGCCGGGCCTGGCGGGGCGGAGGCTGCGGGGGAAGGGGAGGCGAGGAGGGAGGGTGCGCGAGCCCCGCCGGCCGGCCGGACACGCTCTCCCGCCGCGGGGCAGCGGAGAGGGCTGACTGTCTTGGTGTCGGGGACAGGTGTCTCCGACACAGCGACCGACACTCGCCTCTAGGCCGAGGCCGAGCTGCTCCGGGAATGGCGACGAGTCGCCAAACAGCATCTCGAAGAACCCGGATGGACTATATATATAGTGGAGGTGTGAGAGCGAAGCATGCTGGGAGATGTAGTTTTCTGTCTACATCCGGGTCCAGTGACTTTTTTTTTCCTTCCTCCTCAATGTGTGAGAGAGCTTACAAAGTGATTGGACTTGCAGTCCAGGTTTTAGTCTTTTTACACTAATGCACGTAATAATAATATAAACTACTAATCAGTTCAGTTCAGTCGTTCAGTCGTGTCCAACTCTGCGACCCCATGGGCTATAGCATGCCAGGCTTTCCTGTCCATCACCAACTCCTGGAGCTTGCTCAAACTCATGTCCATCCAGTCGGTGATGCCATCCAACCATCTCATCCTCTGTCGTCCCCTTCTCCTGCTTTCAATCTTTCCCAACATCAGGGGCTTTTCTAATGAGTCAGTTCTTTGCATCAGGTGGCCCAAGTATTGCAGCTTCAGCTTCAGCATCAGGCCTTATAATAATGCATCCAAACATCGGACTACCGTGGAATTCCTTTACTGACTCATTATTTTATAGTTCTTATTCTAATATTAATATCAATTTATTTATGGATCTTATTCAATCTCCTAATAATAATGATAATAGTGACAATAATGACAATACATTTAATATCACTTCCTTATACAATTACTTCATTTTATTGTTGTCACTTATTAATATAAATCATTGTTAATATTTCATTTCGTTGTTAATAATAATAGTTATCCAACTCTTTGGAACCCCATGGACTGTAGCCTACCAGGCTCCTCTGTCCATGGGATTTTCCAGGCAAGGGTACTGAAGTGGGTTGCCATTTCCTTCTCTAAGGGATCTTCCTAACCCAGGGACTGAACCCGGGTCTCCCTCATTGCAGACAGACACCTTACCATCTGAGCCACCAGGGAAGCCCTAATAGTTATCACTGAGTGCTTATTATTAGCAGACACTGCTCTATGCAGTTTACATGAAGTATCACATCTCACAATAACTCAAACTTAAAGATGAAGAAATGGGATCACACAGCTAATAAGTGATGTTCTCAACTACCTGTAAGATAAGCAGTTCTCCCTTTTACAGATAAGGACATTGAGACTTAGAAAATTATATAGGTATTTTAGAAATCATATGACACCCACCCATACTTTGAAACATTATAAATGACTCCTTCCAACCATAGCAGTTTGAGATTCAAAGGATCACAGAAAAACACTGTGAAAAAGATAAATAATTCTTGTAACAGTAAATAAGGTTAACCTTAGCTAGTTAGAAACCTATTATATGCCAGGCACTGTGCTGAGAACAAAGAATTCCAAAATACATTAATGGGAGAATGTGATAAGGACTATAATAAAGTTAACACAAAATGCTGACCAGAGGAGAGGCCTGAAGGAGAGAAGTACAAAAAGTTAGGAATAAAGGAGGACCTCCCCAGAGGTGATGTTAGTTGAGCTGAGCATAGAAAGATGAGTGGAATTTTGGCAGTCATACATGAACAAATAAATAAACAGACAAAATCCTAGACATCACCTAATTAGGCCTTTTGGGGTTTCTTTTTAATCATATGTTACACAAAACATTAATAAGTATATAGAAGTCAATTTCTTGAACTTGACAGTTTTAGCTGGGATAAAAGAAATTAGATACTAATCTCATATATTTTAACATTTCTTAAATGCCCCCTACCAGTCCTTATCTTGTTTTTTCTTTTCCAGTTCCCCCCCCCCCAACAAATCATACTGAAATGAGAGAATGGCTACATAATGCATCAAATTAAGTCTGAGGCTGTTGCTGCTAAGTCGCTTCAGTCGTGTCCGACTCTGTGCAACCCCATAGACGGCAGCCCACCAGGCTCCCCCGTCCCTGGGATTCTCCAGGCAAGAACACTGGAGTGGGTTGCCATTTCCTCCTCCAATGCATGAAAGTAAAAAGTGAAAATGAAGTTGCTCAGTCGTGTCTGACTCTTAGTGACCCATGAACTGCAGCCCACCAGGCTCCTCCGTCCATGGGATTTTCCAGGCAAGAGTACAGGAGTGGGGTGCCATTGCCTTCTCCGCAAATTAAGTCTAGAAAATCCTAAAAGTCCATTTTTATGTATGACTAGATTTGGAAGATACACTAAGTTTCCTGGGTGATTTTTTATTTCCTTTAACAAAGGTGTGGGAACTCTGATGACAGGGGTAAATAATTTCTTTCTTCTATCACTCTTAAAAGTGAGAAAAAGAGAGAAAGCCCCATGCAGTTCTTCCAAAATAAGCAGTAGCTGTCCATCTGTTAGGCTACATTAAGCCAAGAAAAGATTTTCCACTTTCAAAGTAGTTTCTTAGGGGCCTTGGCACTTTCTCCTTGTGAAACATTTACAGGAAACATACATTTACAGAGAAGTAAAGCAGAAACACACAGAAATCCAAATAAAACTCACCACCTCTATCCTCTTTTCCACAAGATGGTCTATGTTACCCTTTCCATAGAAAATAATGGGAAAGTCTGAGGTTAAAAGTAAAGCACTCATTCTGTGCCAGCTGGAGCTAGAAATGTAGCTTTGTGATAGTAGGAGACAGGCTGAATGGTGCTTGGTTGTGACTTACTAAATAGATACCAGAAGGACTTCCCTGGTGGTCCAGTGGTTAAGAATCCAGCTTCCATCGCAGGTGGCACAGATTGGATCCCTGGTCCAGGAACTAAGATCCTGCGTGCTGCAGGGCGTAGCCAAAAAGTAAATAAATAAAAGTAAGTTAAATTCATACCAGAGCTTTCCTTCCCATTTATGAACTTCCTAGGTTCATAAGATGGAAAGACCAAAGAACTGTCTTTCCTATGTCTATCATTCAGAGTAATCTAGCATATGTTTCTCAAGATTATTCTGCACATCCTCTCATACAAATCACCAGAGAATTTCAATCAAAGAGATTCCTAGAATCCATTCCCAGTGTCATTTACTGATTCAAAAGCTCCGTTTGCCCTCTTCCGCACCGGAAAAAGGGAGCTACTTGGTATCTCCGGAGTTGGTACTACCGATAAGAGATTCCCTGATGGTTCCGATGGTAAAGAATCCGCCTGTAATACAGGAGACGCAAGAGACGCGGGTTCGATCCGGACATGTAAGAGATGGGGGTTTGATCCCTGGATTGGGAAGATCCCCTGGAGAAGGGAATGGCTAGCCACTCCAGTATTCTCGCCTGGAGAATTCCACAGAGGAGCCTGGCGGGCTACAGTCCGTGGGATCGCAAGGACGAACACGACTGAGCGACACGAACACCATACAGATGGGCAAGATTCAGAGACCTGGTGTCTACCAGGTGACCGGAGGCTCTCCCTAAGGTCCGCTGATTTCCTTGTGAATTCTATATTTAATTTGAAGACAGAGAAAAAGGGATTTCGCGTACTCAAAGACGAAATAGCCTCAGGATCCCAGAGATCCTGCAGAGCTGCTTAACATCACGTTTCAAGACGCGTTCAGCTAATAGTGTCTCCGGTCGGCCGCCGTCAGCCGTTTAGCGATGCAACGCTACGTCCTGTCTGACAGCGGTCACCCGACTGTCAAGATGGCAGCCCTCGGGAGCTGGGCTCTATGGAGCTTCTGCAGCCGTGGGTGGTCGCGGGCAGCGTCGGGCTGCAGGCTCCCCGGGCTTCGTAGCTCCTCGCCCAGGGGCCCCCTGGGTGCACGGCTCTTGTCCCAAGAGAAGGAGGCAACCGAAACGCACTTCGGGTTTGAGACTGTGTCGGAAGAGGAGAAGGGGGGCAAAGGTGAAAGGAGTGAGAGGGTGAATGGGGAGGATCTGACTGTCTACGATCTAGTTTCTTCTGCCCAAACCAAGGGTTGATTTGACGTCCTGTGAGCTCCGCTGAGGGGCTTCCCAGGTGGCGCTAGTGGTAAAGAATCCACTGGGTCGGGAAGATCCCCTGGAGGAGGGTAGGGCAACCTACTCCAGTATTATTGTCTGGAGAATCCCCGTGGGCAGAGGAGCCTGGTTGGCGGACACGGCTACTTCAAGCCACTTAGCACGCACGCACGCGCCTCTGATGCATTAACTTGTGCAGTCCTGACCTCCAAGGAGTACCCTTAGTCTGTCTCTGCCAAACTTAGAGCCTCCTCTTTTCAAGTAATTATCACAGAACCCCATCAGTTGAGCATTTATGATGTGCCAAGCAGAGTGCAGACATTATTTACAATTCTCATTTCAACTTCCTGATGGTGAGTATTGTTATTCCATCTTACTCATGAGGAAATAGAGACTTAAAGGTTAAGCAAAACCTTGCCCAGTTTAACATAGTAAGTGGTGGCACTAACCCAGTTCGGTCTGACTACTGAGCCCATATTGTTAATCTCTTGCTAAAGGGATAGGCCGTCTTTTATAGAAAGAAAGAAGGAAACTATTTTCTGTTAATATGTGCCTCAGCTTCCAAATTTGCCAGATAGGGAAGATAGTAATTTCTTTCATAGAGTTCTTGTGAAGATTACGTTACTTCATACACTGAAGAATTTTGAATAATGCCTGGCACTTCATAATTGCTCAATAAGTGTTAGATATTGTTCAGCACTTTTTTGTGTTCACCATAAGACTTGGGAAAGGAAAAGACCTGTTTTAAAATTCCAGCTGTACCATTTGTAATGAGAAAGGTATTATGCTCACATTACAGATGGATAAGGTGAGGCTCTGAGAGGTTTCTTAACTTGGCCTGTAGTCACCCAGAAAATAAGAAAAGAGCCTACCATTGAATTTTTTATCCTCTTATAGGCTAGTATATTGTATTACCTTTTACCTCAACCTTACTAAATACATAGCTCTACTATAACTCCTTGAATATCAAATTTAAATTAACACATTTCATTGTGAATCCCCAGAAAGTTAAGACTCATTCATAACTGTGTTCTCAGCATCTGATGCACATTAGGAGCTTGATAACTGGTTGTGGGGTGAAATAAGTGGAGCCAGGTAAAATGATAGTAAACTCCATAAGTTCATCTTCCCAGAGTTCCTGTGGCTGCAATTTCAAAATGTCTGGGGTGGCAGTATCGACATCCCCATGGTCATGTTTCTCCTATGATTACATTGACATTCTGTTCAAATTTCACCTCCAAGTTTATCCCTTTTCATTATTTTGTTGCACTTTCATTTTTGTAGTCCAGTTCCCTCTTTCTTTTTTTTTTAAGTCTCTAGTTTTGTAAAATGCCACAGAGAGTCACAACTGAGATCAGAAGGTAACACACACAGCTACATGCTTTGCTGTCTGCATGTGAATAAGGGATGTATCGTGACCAACCCCCTACAAACCTTGAGAGAAGTGATGTAATTGGTTTCTGATCATGATGCATATCTGTTATTTATGCATGATTTGTGGAATGAAGGGCTACTATCAAGATTTGTACTTTATGCAATTACTCACAGTTAATATACCATTGTATTTGAATGATGTTGCTAGAGGACTGGTGTTATTGAACTAAACCACAATAACTGAAATTCTTGCATATTAGAACCACATAAAGCAAGAAGGGCTTATACTCAGTGGGTTGAGCCTCAGTGTCCCTCTAAATATCCCAGATGTTCAAAAGCAAAGAGCAAGCTTATAGGATCCCAGGGTTGAGAATAGATGTTCAAAATTGAATAAAAGGAGGGCTCTATTGTCTGCTGATTCAGCAGAGGACAGTAATGTTTTGGGTCTTAGCAGCACATTTCATCTGAGGAACTCAACATATCTCCACTTCTTTACCAGATTCAGTCCTTTTGGCAGGTAGGTAGGAGGCTCGCACTGATATTGTTATCTCATGAACAGAAATGGAGATAACAAAGAAGTTAAATGTAGCCTGTGCTTTGAAGCATCTTTGATAGTAAATTCCTTAACTCTTCAGCCAGTCCATATTCTACATTCTTCCTTTGTCCTGTGGAGAGTCACGAGAACCCTCTACAATTCTACTTGGCCCTGACTCACATCCTACCATTCATCTGCCCACCAAGTTGAACCTGAGGTTTTTCTCAGTGACACAGGCAGAGATGAGCTGAGGTCTTCCCATTCATTTTTCATGTCTTTCTAATGGATTTTGTTGTCTTTAATTATGATACTGTTAGAAAAATTCCAATCCCCCCACCCCTTCCTCTAAGAAATGGAAACTGGGGAACTCCCTGGCAGTCCAGTGGTTAGGACTTGACTTGGGTCTGATCCTTGGTTAAGGAACTAAGATCCTGCAAGCCATGCAGTGTGGCCAAAAAAGAAAGCGATTTACTACTAAGTATGTGCATGGCATTATTGCAAGGTAATGTGAAGCTGTGTGAAGCTAAGATAACAGAAAATAGGTTGACTTATTTCTTACTTGAAGAAATTTAAGCCTTTTAAAATTCTTTATTTATTTGGATACACTGGGTCTTAATTGCGGCAGGCAGGATCTTCCGTCTTCCTTGTGGCATGCAAACTCTTAGTTGTGGCATGTGGGATGTAGTTCCCCAATCAGGGATCAAACAAGGGTGCCCTGCATTGGGAGTGTGGAGTCCTAGCCACTAGTCCACCAGGGAAGTCCCTAGTTAAGCCTTTTTTTTAAAAGTGGTAACGTGCAGATTTGGGCATCAAGCATTATGACTTGGCTCCACCTTGCAGATAGTTATTTTATGGGGGGAATGAGGAACTTTCTTACATTTAGGACTTTTCCAGGTTAATATTATTAGTAGCCCAGTCATGCTGTGTTTCTCTCATGTCAAGTCTATCAGGTGTTTGAAAGTGTGGCCAAGAAGTATGATGTGATGAATGATATGATGAGTCTTGGTATCCATCGAGTTTGGAAGGATTTGCTGCTCTGGAAGATGCGCCCGTTTCCTGGGACCCAGCTGCTGGATGTTGCTGGAGGCACAGGTAATGTCCAGTTTGGTCTCCTTGGGTAACACTGAGCTCCTTTTATAAAAACTAATTTTTCTTGTTGTAATGAGCTAGCTCACCTTCCATTAGGCTGAACATGGTGATTGAAAATCAGTACACCTCTCAGAAAGATTTACTCTTTTCTTTTTTCTCTTTTTAGTTTTATTTATTTAGGCTGTGCTGGGTCTTCACTGAAGCTCAGGCTTTTCTTGGATTGTAGCGCGCAGGGGCTACTCTCTAGCTGTGGGCATGGACTTCTCACTGTGGGGGCTTCTCTTTTCGCAGAGCACAGGCTCTGGGGTGCACAGACTTCACTAGTTGCAGCACGTGGGCTCAGCAGTTGCGGCTCCCTGGCTCCACAGCATGGGCTCGGTAGTTGTGGCTTAGTTGCTCCACAGCATGTGGGATCTTCCAGGATCAGGAAGTGAACTCTTTGTCTGCTGCATTGGCAGGTAGCTTCTCTACAACTAAGCCACCAGGGAAGCCCTACTGAATGCCAATCAAAAACACGGAATATCAACTTTGTGCCTGTCATTTTTCTAAAATTCAGAGGATTACAAAGTAAACTAATCAGTTTTTTCCTCCAGTGTCCCTTCCCCATCTAAACAACTATTTTTGCTTTCTGTTTAACCTTTAGCCCACTTGCCTTCTTTCTTTGCTGAGGAGGGGAGGGGCTTTTATCATGTAAATTTTCAAGGCAGCCTTTTCTGCCTAATCTACTATCATATCAGATATCAAAGGCTCTTTTATTGGGAAAAAAACCGCTTTTTATTTATGCATGGTCATTTGTTTCTTGGTGCACACTAGGCATTTGGGGAGAAAAATGTCATGTAATGTAATAATGTAAGAATCTATACTGATAGAATAATATATAATAATAAATGGCAGTAGAATAATGTCCATGTTTATGTTTGGCTTTATTGGTGTGGTCCTCTCCCCAGAAGGAAGCACAGAGGGCAGTGAGGTAGAGGACATTAGCAGAATCTATCAAAATCTAAAATGCTTTTTAGTCTAGGATCCCACAATTCCAATTCTAGACATTTAATCTGAAAAGAAAAAAAAAAAAAACTTGCACAGAGATATGGCTACAGAAAAGTTTCAGTCAGAGCTGCCACCATCTCCAGTGCACCCCAGCCAGTAACATTACCACATGCCAACAACTGCCCATTTAGAAAATGCAATTAAAAAGTAAGCCCATATATTTAAAAAGACATTTAAAACATATAGTAACAAATATGCTCACACTGCATAATTTTTAGTAATAGTGAAAAGTTGGAAGTAACCTATTTCTACCTCAATGAAGAAATGACTTTAAGATACATCAATACTATATAGGTAGCTATTTAAAAGAATGAGAAAAACCTATAAATACTGATGGAACAGTATCAAGGACATATTAAGTGGGAAGAAAAAGAAAAGTTATATACAATGGATATAATATATCCCTCATGTATTTAAGTTGTTTCATGTGAGTACATATAATTATATTTAAATTTATAGGAAAGTGACTGGAGAATACCTAATTGGATGGAGAAAATGGAAAAACCTAAGGCTTTATTTCTTACAAACAGTGTAAGAAGAAAACAAAGACAAGGAAACAGCATTATAAAAAGGGAAATATGAACCTGAAAGCACTGGCTTTGCCTAAACAGTATTTACAACATGGTCACAATAGTATAAACACTTGATTCTCTGCTTTTAAACTCAAACCATCAACAAAGCACAGAAACCTTAGAGCTATAGAACAAATACAATGTTATCAGGCTTGACAGAACATATATATATATATATATATATATATATACACACATATATACACACATATATATGTGAGCAAATATATATATGATGGAAGGTTGAAGGGAGTCAAGAGATACTATCTATAGTTGATGGAATAATAAAATAAGGGGGGAGAAAAAAGTAAGAGGGGGAGGGATAAACTTGGAATGGGATTAACAGATATATACTACTACATATAAAATAAGCAACAAGGACCTACTATATAGCACAAGGAACTGTATTCAATATCTTGTAATAAGCTATAATGGAAAAGACTCTGAAAATGAAAATATATGTATAACTGAGTCACCTTGCTATATACCTGAAATATTGTAAATCAACTGTACTTCTAATTTAAAAATAAAAATTATAGAGATATGGCTACAGAAAAGTTTCAGTCAGAGCTGCCACCATCTCCAGTGCACCCCAGCCAGTAACATTACCACATGCCAACAACTGCCCATTTAGAAAATGCAATTAAAAAGTAAGCCCATATATTTAAAAAGACATTTAAAACATATAGTAACAAATATGCTCACACTGCATAATTTTTAGTAATAGTGAAAAGTTGGAAGTAACCTATTTCTACCTCAATGAAGAAATGACTTTAAGATACATCAATACTATATAGGTAGCTATTTAAAAGAATGAGAAAAACCTATAAATACTGATGGAACAGTATCAAGGACATATTAAGTGGGAAGAAAAAGAAAAGTTATATACAATGGATATAATATATCCCTCATGTATTTAAGTTGTTTCATGTGAGTACATATAATTATATTTAAATTTATAGGAAAGTGACTGGAGAATACCTAATTGGATGGAGAAAATGGAAAAACCTAAGGCTTTATTTCTTACAAACAGTGTAAGAAGAAAACAAAGACAAGGAAACAGCATTATAAAAAGGGAAATATGAACCTGAAAGCACTGGCTTTGCCTAAACAGTATTTACAACATGGTCACAATAGTATAAACACTTGATTCTCTGCTTTTAAACTCAAACCATCAACAAAGCACAGAAACCTTAGAGCTATAGAACAAATACAATGTTATCAGGCTTGACAGAACATATATATATATATATATATATATATATACACACATATATACACACATATATATGTGAGCAAATATATATATGATGGAAGGTTGAAGGGAGTCAAGAGATACTATCTATAGTTGATGGAATAATAAAATAAGGGGGGAGAAAAAAGTAAGAGGGGGAGGGATAAACTTGGAATGGGATTAACAGATATATACTACTACATATAAAATAAGCAACAAGGACCTACTATATAGCACAAGGAACTGTATTCAATATCTTGTAATAAGCTATAATGGAAAAGACTCTGAAAATGAAAATATATGTATAACTGAGTCACCTTGCTATATACCTGAAATATTGTAAATCAACTGTACTTCTAATTTAAAAATAAAAATTAAAAAAAGAAAGAATATATATTAGTTCATTACTCTAGGTTACAAAGGTATCTGTGAGGAACTATTAAAAGTGATATAAATATATTGGGAGGACAGAGGCAAGCAGAGATGGGGTGGGATTGCTTTATAAATTTTGTGAGTAAAGAAATAGCTGTAACCAGCAGAAGAAACCGCTAAAGGGATTGGGAAAGACGGTCTGTGAGGAACTGAACTGGCTATGGGAAGTGGTGGGGCAGTGAGCTGTTGTTGCTTGTGAGTGTACCTTCATGTTACCATCACAAAAATTATTAGAAAAAGACTAGGAAGCAGTACACTCAGCTCTTCACACTTGTTGTATCCGGAGAGTGTGGACAGAGATGGCAGCTTTTGTGTTTTATTCTATATATTTAAGTTTTGAGGCTTTTAGAGTAAGAATGTGTCCGTGCATTACATATGCAGTTTTTAAAGGTTTTTTATTTAAAGAATCTTAGCAGTTAAAAAAAAACTGCTGTTAAAAAAGACATTAACTATTGAAATGAGTACAACCTTCAGTTTTCATACACTCCTCAACACCTGTACCTTTGTTACTCCTTTTGGGTTTAAGAAATGCTGCAGTTGTGTTTGTGTTTGATCTTTCCTCCTGTTGGCTTCCCACAGGTGACATTGCATTCCGGTTCCTTAATTATGTTCAGGCGCAGCATCAGAGAAAGCAGAAGAAGCAGTTAAGGGCCCAACAAAATTTATCCTGGGAAGAAATTGCCAGAAAGTACCAGAATGAAGAGGATTCCTTGGGCGGTTCTCGTGTCATGGTCTGTGACATCAACAAGGAGATGCTAAAGATTGGAAAACAGAAAGCCCATGCTCAAGGATACAAAGCTGGTAAGTCCTGCAGAAAGTGGACCTGGAGGAGATGTTTATAAGATGGAAGGTGTACAATGCTGAAGTGCTTTCTTTTCCAGATTTCAAAAACTTATAGATACATAGGAGTGGAAGATAATTTGTGTGGCCGAGCCCAGCATGTGTACTATTACATCCATTATTTCAGCAACCAGTTATGAGCCTCAAGTGACAGGGGAGACAACCCAGACCCAAAGAGGTTAAGTATCTTGTTCAAGTCATGCAGTTTAAATGGCAGATCCAAAATAGGGACTGACTCTTTGGGTCTCAGCTCTTGACCCCTGAGACAGAAGTTTGGCTTTCGATTTCCAGCAGCTCTCCAATGACCCCAATGCCCTATTCTTGAGCTGTTTCATCCCCTTTCCAAAACTAAGCTCTGCCTCAGCTTTCCAACCTGGCAGCACCCAGCCAGTGACTGAGGACAATGGGGCTCCCGGGCCTGAACATATGCCACGTGGGGCTCTCTTCACAGGCAATCTTTGTTCCAGAGCCCCCTGCTGGGTTGGCTGGGGCTTTCTCAGATCTGCATCAAGGTCTTACGGCTCTTCTCACACATGCTTGCTTCCTCTTCTTTTTATTTTTTTCCAGGTGCCTCCCCTCACCCCCCAACCAACTCCCCACCAAAAAAAAACCTTTGCCCTCCTACCTCTGTTTCAGCATGGGTTTCTCAGAGGGCGCAACTGATGCAGTTGAAGAATCAGCCGTAAATGGTACACTTCAAACTTCCCTCACACGGTCCATTCTACAGCCAAGGGGGAAGGGACTGGGTATCTCCAGGCCGGTGCTGCAGCTCCCAAATAGACAGTTTCTGCTCTAGCTTAAAGATACACGTTTTATATTTGGCTTTCTCTTTTAATATTTTGAAATACTTTTGCCCCCAGTATTTTGCCCCAGTAGATGTACTGATCTGGCAGCTGCAGCATATTTACCCGGCTTTTCAGAGCCACTGTACTGCCCTCTTCCACACTGGCCGAGCGCTGCAGGCAGCCCTGGTGAGAGGCAGTGGTACCCAGCAAAGAATCCAAGGCCTTTGGGTCAACATCAGCACTTCTCTCCTCCCCCACCACCTCCCCACCACGAGTGTCTATGGTTATTTTAGCTCAATTCTTCTCCTCCTACTTCCACCCCCAGAACGAGCTGCCTAGACGAACTGCAGCCCACTTGGCCCCCCAGCTGAAGGGCTCTTTTGTTAACCATCAACACTGATCAGAAGGCCAACAGTCACTAGTGTTTCTAGACAAAGGCACTGTGTTCTTACTCCTACTGAGAAACGTGTTTCCCTTCTCTCTGGTGCTCAGCCACGAAGAGTGAAGAACAAAGACGGGAATGATGGGTAACGTTCCACTTCTGGAATCATCTCTGCCATAGCGTAGCTTGCCCTTCAGGCTCTCCTAACAGCCAAGACAGGTCCACCTGTGTAAGAATCATTACGTGCTTCTTAGTTTGGTTTTATTTTTCCTCCTTGCTTTGAAAGTGAAATGAAAGTCACTCAGTCATGTCCGACTCTTTGCGACCCCATGGAGTCCTTGGAATTCTCCAGGCCAGAATACTGGAGTGGGTAGCCTTTCCCTTTTCCGGGGGATCTTCCCAACCCAGGAATTGAACCAGGGTCTCCTGCATTGCAGGCAGATTCTTTACCAGCTGAGTTACCAGGTACCAGTCTCCAATAATAATACCTTTGCAACACATATATCATGCCAAAATAAAGTTGAAACTAAGTAGAAGGATCCTAGAAATGATTTAACAGTTATAAAAGTTAATGTATAAAGGCATTTTTTAAATAAAGGCATTTTGTGTAGCACTATTATGTTTTATTTACATGTAGCACTTCCTCCCAAAGTAGAAGCTTGGAGGGCAGAAACCTTAAAAAGATTTGATGGGTTATAAAAGTGATATATTTGGGAAAATTTAGGATGTTAGAAATCAAACATTTGGGGAAAAAAAGAAACATTTGAAAAAGTATGAAGAAGTAAATATTAACCATAGTTCCAACATCCAGAGATGACCCTCAATATTTTAGTATATTTCCTCCCTACCTTTTTCCCAATCATTTCCTTTTTATAATATTGACAACATCTTGGAGATACAATTTAGTATCCTGCTTTGTTTAATTCAGCATTGTATCATGAGATTTTTCCATTTTATTCAAAATTTCTGGGGACTTCCCTGGTGGTTCAGGGTTAAAACATTGCCTTCCAATGCAGGAGGTGGGAGTTCGATCCTTGGTCAGGGGGCTAAGATCCCTCATGCCCCTCACAGTCAAAAAAATCAAAGCATAAAACCAAATTCGATAAAGAATTCTAGTGGTCCAGTGGTTAGGACTCTGCATTCTCACTGCAGAGGGCCTGTAGAGGATAATGTATGTAAAGTGATTACATAGACCTCATCATCGTGGGCTTAGTAAGTAGTAGCTTTGATGATAATGTCATTAGTGTCTTCCTCCAAAAAATCAAATGACTAGGTTAAAGGGTATGCTCATTGCTGAGGCTCTTGTTAAATACTGTTAGCGTGCTTCCCAGGAAGATTATTTCCATTTACCTTCCTCTATGAAGCCTCCTTTCTGAATCATAAGTGACGTGAAGTCTCTCAGTCGTGTCCGACTCTTTGCGACCCCAAGGACAGTAGCCTGCACCAGGCTCCTCTGTCCATGGGATTTTCTAGGCAAGAGTACTGGAGTGGGTTGCCATTTCCTTCTCCATTGAATCATACTTCGTGTCTGATTCACTGCAGGTTGAATAATATTGAAGCTGAATCAGGATTCTCAGAGGATATAGCTACCCTGATAGGGAGCTCCCTTGGGTGTTTTCTGAATTCATGACCAGACTTGGGGTCAGGACACCCTGCTTCTCTGTGAGTCCAGTAGAATGAATAACTATGCCAAATTATGTACTTAGAATAAATTCTAATGACTATCTGAAGTAGGTACTACTTATTATTGACTCCACTTTACACATGAGGAAACTGAGGCAACATAGTTTATCCAGGATTATATAGCTAGGGGCTTCCCTGGTGGCCCAGTGGTAAAGAATCTGCCTACCAGTGCAGAAGACACAGGTTTGATCCTTGGTACGGGAAGGTCCCACATGCTGTGAAGCAGCTAAGCCCATGCACCACAACTACTCAGCCTGTGCTCTAAAGCCCGGGAGCTGCAACTCCTGACACCATATACTGCAACTCCTGAAGCCTGGGAGCCTAGAGTCTGCGCCCCGCAACAAGAGGAGCCACCACAGTGAGAAGCCCGTGCACCACCCCTGCTCTCTGCAACTAGAGAAAAGCCCACACAGCAAGAAAGACCCCGCGCGGCCAGAAATAAAAAGTAACTCTATTCAAAAACTTGTATTATTAAAAAAAAAAAAAGGTTATATAGCTAATAGTTGGGGAAGCTGGCATTAGAACCCAGGCAACACCAGGACCTGGGCTCTTAACCACAATGCTTTACACCTAGTTGGATAAAAATTGCTTAAGAGTAAGGCATAACTAAGTAACCAGTGTCTACCCTGAGAACCTTGGGGGAAACTTTCTTCTAAACTTCAAGGACACCAGAAACTTCAAGTGTTCAGGATTGAAGGACACCCTGAAGACGGTGGCCAGGAATCCACTGGAGAAGGCAGCTGTGTGTTTTCTGACACCACTTCAGATACTGCACGTGTGATGCTCCCCCAGCACCGTACAGTTCTCCAATTCTCCAGTGCCAGCCAGCTGTCCAACAATTCAGTTCAGTTCTAACACTAATTACCAGAGTTAGCATCAGATTCCACAGGTTTAAGGGCTTATTGCCACAAGACTGCCCCCACTTCACAAGACAGCCACAAACAGGGTGTTCAGGGTACCCACACTTCTGTCCAGCTGATTACAAATTCAGGGGTTCCCACAACCCCCTTCCCAGGTTTGACAGTTCCCTGGGTGCAGAGGAGACAGCAGCCCAGGCTGAGGCCAGAACTGCTTTTCTCTTTCAGGACTTGCCTGGATATTGGGAGATGCAGAAGAACTGCCCTTCGACGATGACAAGTTTGATGTTTACACCATTGCCTTCGGGATCCGGAATGTCACACACATTGATCAGGTAACCAATGGCCACCTCTGCTGGTGTGACCCGGGATATTAGCTCTCCGGGGGTAGCTCCACAGTGAATGAGGAAAGGGAGAGATTCTGCCCCGGGCCCAGCTCCTCAGTTGAATGTTTCAGGCTGAGAGGTCTTAATTCTTTAAACTGCCAATTTTCCTGCTCACAAAATTGAAAAAACCAAAACCACAGAGCAGATCCCCATAGAAGCCTTTGTTGCTTGAGTCGGTATTCACATCTTCAAGCCTGTCAGTCTTGCTCTCTCATGTCATCTGCTTCCTCTCTCTCCATGAAGCCTCCTGACTCAGAATTTGCAGATCAGAGCAATTCCCAAGGCTGACACAGGAAAAGGCACTCAGCCCCTATTTTGGCAGAAGGTGGCTAGATTCACAGATCCTCTGTTGGAAGAAGGGAATGTTCAGCCCTTAATTTGATGCAGCTCTTCTTTTATTTCTACTTGAACATTCTGTCCAAACATTGGAAGATGACAGACGAGGCCCCCAGTTTCATGTCTGTAACGTGGACTCCAGTTGCCTGGTTGCCTGCCTTGGGTGTGATGTCGTTTATGGGGTACTTCAATTTCATTTTTTCCCTGTGTCTATAGCGAGTTTATTATTCTTTTTAAATTAAAAAAAAATAAATTTTAATAAATCCAAAGCTCAAGCAGCACAAAAGGGATATATCACTAAAAAATCTTCATCCCTGTGTGCTAACCATTCAGTGCCTCCTCTTTCTGTGATCACCAGTTTCTCAGTGGCGTATCTTTGCAAAGATGTCTTGTGCATATTAAGTGTATTCATTTCCTTTCTTTTTTTTTATACAAATATTGGCATATGAAACATTTTGCCCATTGCTTTTTTTTCCCCTTAAAAATATACCTGCAAAAAATATATATCTATATCTGCAGACTTTTCCATGTCAGCACATAAAGAACTCTTGCTCTTCCTTTTTTAAATAGCTTCATTGATTCCATTTGTATACATATTCCCTAATATAACCAGTCTCTCATTGATGATTAAGATGCTTCTGCTTTTACGCTGTTCAAATCCTGCTGTAATGAATAACCCCACGTCATTTCCACAGTAGAAGCATTTCTGTAAGATAGACTCTTTGAAGGAAAATTGGTGGGTCAAAGAGGGATATCCATCGTGATTTTGAGAAGTAATTCAAAAATTGCCCTCCCCCAATCTGAGTCAGTTTCGATTACTCCAGGTAACCTTCTCTAGTCATGGGCAGCGGAATGGCTAAAAGATTTAGGAGACTGTGGGTTTGTTCTGCTGTTACAGCTTCCCAGCTGAGATTGAACATGGGATCTATGGGAAACACTCTTTATAACGCCCCCAGGAGTAGTGCGGCCTCAGCCTCCCAGAGCTGAGTGAGGGATGCTGAGGAGTGTGTCCTGTTCTTGTCTTGCTCAGGCACTACAGGAAGCCCATCGGGTCCTGAAACCAGGAGGAAGGTTTCTCTGTCTGGAGTTCAGCCAAGTAAACAATCCCCTTGTATCCAGGTTGGTATTGTTAACAGGGCTTGATTTTCACCATCCAGCCAAGGGTTTCCTATCCCCAAATGCATAGAAAATAACCAGTAGCTTTAAACACCAACCTCGACGTCCCTGAGTCCCTGAGGGGCGGTGCCATCTCTGTGGTCAGCCAGTTCTGAATGACAACGCCTAGACCAGAAGAGTCTCAAACCGGTAACCAGAGACTCAAGTGGGCCTGCATATGTATTTTGTTTGGCTCATGGTTATTTTAGAAAATTGACTTAGATGTCTATATTTTATTTATTTATTTATTTTTTGTTGTTTCATAATTTTTATTGGCTATAAATCATGACACAAAATGGTTTAATTCCAGTGTGCCAGAAAATGAAAGGTATTTTCAAACAAGATTTATTAGAAGTAGATCCTAGGCAGGTCATGTAAGAAGAAGGTAAAACTTAATGTATTACTTTTATATAATAAAAACTGTTTCTTCCAACACAGACATATAGAAGAGCTAAAAGAATAGTATTACAAACACATTATCTATCTAGATTCCCCAGTTGTTAATATTTGCACCCTTTCTTTATTTCTTTCTCCATTTGTTTCTCAGCCACTTTATTTATTTTTTTATTATATCTTGAAGATGTCTGTATTTTAAAATTGAGAAATTTTACATAAAAATTTGGATTTCCAACTTCACTTGAGAAATCAGATATATGGCAACCCTGGTTAAGCCCATATTCCCACATGGCAATAATCAGAGCTGGGTAGTAGCTGCCCCTTCCCCACTTTTCTGGACCTTCCTAATTGTGCCTGTCACCACACCCTCAACTGGGTCACTTATTTCAGGTACTTGCTTGACCCCTATAGGCATTTTTGAGTTTATAATTCCAGGCTTAGACCTTCTTGCTTATTAACGGTCATGTTCTAATCTTAATCTTTTGCCTTTTTGTTTAGGCTCTATGATGTATATAGCTTCCAGGTCATTCCTGTCCTGGGAGAAGTCATTGCAGGAGATTGGAAGTCCTACCAATACCTTGTAGAGAGTATCCGACAGTTCCCATCTCAGGTACAAAAAGATCTATAGCTTACAACCCAAGGCCCCACAGTTGAAATCCAGGTAATTTCTGCTGTATCTTTCTTTGTGTTTTAGGAGGAATTCAAGGAGATGATAGAAGATGCAGGTTTTCAGAAGGTGACTTATGAAAATCTCACATCAGGCATTGTAGCCATTCATTCTGGTTTCAAACTGTAACTCCTTTAAGATTCTGAAGCGTGAACCAGTCACATCCTGTCAGAAGTCTGGAGCTGGAGGATAATCTGGTTAGTGTGACCAGCAGCAGAACATCTCTGCTTAAGGCTGTGTGCCTTGGACCCATGTTCTGATGTGACCAATCTCAAAGTGAAAGAAACAAGTTCCTGTCACTTGATTGCAGCTTTCCTTAGGGGCTGTTTCAGGCCTTCTCCCAGTTATTTGTCTGTACTTTTGCTTAAGTCCTATTTTTTCTTGGCTGTGCAGTATGTGGTTAAGGTAAAACCAGCACTGAAACTCAATTTTGAAGTGTATTTGTAGTTTCTCTGCCAGTGCTGCCTTCCAGAGGGATAATGAATCATTTGAATTCAATGATTATTTGAACCAGAAAACTTGCTAGCTGTACCCTTCAGCCTAGGACTAAGTCTGGGGCCAAAAGCCAAGGCCCAAAGTATAGGGCTAAGGATCACAACTAGAACTGTGCAGTTGAAACACTAAATGAGTTTACAATTTTCATGGATTTTGTCAGTTTCTTCTTGAGGGAGGTGAAAGAAATACACTTTCTTCATCATTCATTCAGTACTCTTCCACCAAAAGCCACTATTGTGTCCCCAGTGCCTGTCATGAAGAAAACAACTTGACAGATCCTTGTTGAAAGAATAAATGTACCAGCAGACTTCTGCTTTCACATCTAAAAAATTGAGAGCCTGTCAGAATACATTTGAAGAAAGATCTTATAGCCAAAAAAAGAAAGTTTGGTAACTATTAATATAGCCAAGCCCCCTCCAGTACTCAGCAGAGCTGGGCAGAGGTCGTCTCCTTAATACAGTCCACTGTTTGATGTTAAAATCAAACCATAAATATTTTCAGTGTGGATGAAATTTAAGGGTTTTCTCTTTTGCAGGGGGGTAGGGGTGGGAGGAGGGCTGGTAAGAAATTACAGAAGTCAGCCTAGGAGTTGCTCGCAGTTTGATTTCAGAGAGCTTGCTATTGTTGTTGTTGAGTCACTAAAGTTATGTCCAACCCTTGGTGACCCCGTGGACTCTAGCCCACCAGGCTCCTCTCTCCATGGGATTTCCCAGGCAAGAATACTGGGGTGGGTTGCCATTTCCTTCTCCAAGGACTCTTCCTGATGCAGGGATCGAAGCCCATCTGCAGCACTGGCAGGCAGACCCTTCACTGCTGAGCCAGCAGGGAGGTCCTGCAGAGACCCCAGTTCAGGCCATCTGAAACGTCTTCAGATGTGACCCAGCACAGGAGGGGCCATGTATGTACCGTCACTGAGGCTGAAGCTGAAACTCCAGTACTGTGGCCACCTCATGCGAAGAGTTGACTCACTGGAAAAGACTCTGATGCTGGGAGGGATCGGGGGCAGGAGGAGAAGGGGACGACAGAGGATGAGATGGCTGGATGGCATCACCAACTCGATGGGCATGAGTTTGAGTGTAAACTCCGGGAGTTGGTGATGGACAGGGAAGCCTGGCGTGCTGCAATTCATGGGGTCGCAAAGAGTCAGACACGACGGAGCAACTGAACTGACTGACTCATAAGATCTTGCCCTGTCATTGAAAAGCTTCCAGATACAGCTCTCTATATACAAGTGTCTCAAAGAACAGCACCTAAGAACTTTAGATAAAATGCTAAACCTTAGAAAAACTTTCAGCTTAGATTTTGTTTTCAGCCAGTTGGAGCCTTTGAAATTAACAAGGATCAGGCGCTGAAAATTTTTCATAGGCGATCAACCCAGTCCTATCTCAGTGGCAGTGATTGTTATATCTGAATCAAGAAATAAAAGCTGTCACTTCCCGGTGATATGGGCCAGGTCAAATTAGAACTTCCACTGTCCAGCTGTTTATGGCCTGAAAGCAGCCCTAGGCTCTTTGCTGGACTACTTCTAAGAAGAGCTAAAATCTACAAGATTGATGCAGCTTTGGAGGCCTAATACCTGTCGGGTTTCAAACAAATATGGCCAGATCACAAAAGTGGGAAAGAAGCTAGAAGAAAGATGAATTACAGGAACCCTTTCAGTCTGTTCACATAAATCCAAACCTAAATCACCCCAATTGCAGCCCCCTGTTCCACAGCACCTCCTTATCTTTTTCCTGCAGAAAGCAGGAAAAACTCTTCCATTTTTATTATACTAAAACAATTCTTTGCTTTCTACCCTGAAACTTTCCCAGTCCTAACATTGTTCAGCTTCATCAGAACTTCTAAAATCCCAAGTTATCATTAAGAAAAAGTCTCCCAAAGATGTTACAGACTTAATTCCACTCAAGATGGAGTCACTGATCAATTCAGATCTATCACTTCCTCTGTGTAGCTGTAGCCTGGCTGCAAGGCCTAAAACAAAAACACTGAAAACAAAGGGAAAATGAAAACAAAGCCAGGACCTTCCTTGCAGCTTCCCAAGATGGTGTGGGTTGTTTTAGCCTCTGGCTCATTTCCATTATCTACAAAAGCTGTCTGCTGTACTTGCTTTTATTCAGAAATCTGTCTTCCTAAAACTGATAGCAGGAAAACTTTTACTTATCCACTTTAATTGGGCCTTTTAATGAAAGCTTCAGTTCACATGTGAACACAGCTAGTTAAAAGCATGGCACAGCAGGTTTCTAAGTTTAAATTCCTGCACTTTATTAGAATCACATGGAGGACTGCTGCTCAAAAGCTTCTTCCCTTTAAGATCACCTTTAATCTCTAGAGTATACTCTGGCCAAGGCAGAGGAGGGTAAATGTCTAGAGCCCAACAAATTTCTCATTAGCCCAACTTTCTCACCAGCTTATTTCCATTTTACAGCCACAGAAAACTTAAAGGAGTTCTACAACACATCCATCATCTCTTGAGGCCTAAGGCCTAGAACACTCTATAGCAGTTATCACAAAAGGAGCACTTAAGGAATGTATTTATCAGGTTAGGAGTAAGAGTTAATCCAGTAGTTTCTCTGCCATGCATTTCTCAACATGCACTTCTGAGTAGTATTCTTCCATGCACAACAGGAACAGGATGGGCAAGAATGAAACTCAAGAGTGCTGAATAGGCTAGTCTGTTACATCCCACAGAAACTTCAAGGAAACACCCCCACCAACCCTACCCAAGATCAAGTAATAGGCCATCTTCAACAGATTATTTGAACAAACGGTAATTAACGCACACTTCAACAGATTTATTTCTTTAAAGGAATGGATTTTGAAGAGAAAAAACATGGGGCAGAGAGGTATGGAATAGAAAATAAATACAAATGTAAGCTGTTTTACTAATTGCTTTATAACCACAAACTAGTACAGAGAATGCCCTGTACAAAACACAATAAAGGTTCAAAGATGGAGGTGTTCCCTTAGGCAAGGCTGAAGACTTCAGTCTCTGGTATTTGGAATTTAGGCTGCAGTCCTTGTTTTTGGATGGATCACTGGGTGTGTGGCACAGTTCATGCTTTTAACCAGATTTGAACAGGAGAATGGCCACTTGGCCCAGGTAGAAGTAGATGAAGTGTTTGGTTTCATGTGTCACATAACTACCGAAGTTCCTCCCCACGATGCAGTGCCAGGTGGGGTTGTACTTCTTGTCAAACTCCTGGGGGGAGGAGGTGGAGAAAAAACAGAATTTTAGTGCTAAACCTGCAGTCAGAGTTTGCCTCCTAGATAAACAAAGCCTGTAGGAGCAGAAAGGAGGAACTTCGGCATCTGCAAATTCTTAGAATGAAAGAATGTTCCCCAGCTCCAAATCGCCTACATAGTGCATTAATGCAAACATACTTGCAGTCTGAGCTAAACTGGGAATGGGGGCTGGGGAGGTAAAAGAAAGGGCAGCCTCTGAGAGTGCTTTGTTATCATGGTAATTACACCTTCTAACTTCTATAATATTCAGGGACAGCAGGTGATATCAGTTACAGTTTACCCTCTAGGTTTTATGTCTAAAAGAACTAAGCTATCCTACTGTATGACATGTACCCCCAAATCCAAGAGAATAGTATTTAGCCCAAAATACCACCATTGTAACTCATTTTAGTATTGCTGAAAACAAAAGGTTTCGGAAAGAACAGAGCCTCAGTAAGCAGCTAAACCACTGGAGATCAAAATTTAAAGGACAAGACACTTGGCGCTCCACTGTCCCTGTAAAAAGAAAGCTGGAAGCAGAACCTGACAGCCACCTGAGCAAATTTTATCTTTACTGTCAACAGCCCTTCTTCCCACATCTATCCTGATGGTGCCAATCTACCCTACCACCTGGTCCTCAAGGCTAGCAAATGGCACTAACAACTTTCCCCTATTTTCCCCACCCCCAGAAGCTCTAGGAACTAGAATTAGAATGCCTGTGTTAATTTCATCACTAGGCAGCTCTAGGTAGGGGTCAGCGCTAGTCTTTCTCTGTGATATCTTTCTCCATTTAAGTATTACTAGTCTCTGGCCAGTTAGGCGAAATTTGGCTACTACTGTATTGTACACAGTGGGAAAGTCTTTCGGATTAAGGTAAATAACATTCTTATAGACCAGACAAACGCACTGCTGTTGCTGCCTTTGTCAGAAAAGGTATTTATTTCTGTTCCATCTGAAATCTTTCATCTTCTCATTCTCGACTGGAACCCTCCCACGACTTAGGCTGCCAGTTTTCTTCCCTTCTAGAAAACACAGCTCGAGAAGTTGGCAGACCTACCAGCTTTCTACAGACTGCCATTTATCAATCCCCCAACCCAGTCCCCAACCACCACCACCACCCACTTTCCCTCAACTGCCGACTGACTCCCCGCTGGAGGCTGGCAAGATCTCCCTCCGGCCCTGCTGGAAACACCCACGCAGCTCCCCCCTCTCCAACACCCAGATGGATCCTGGGCGCAGCAATCATGCAGAAGGGGGAACCGCTGCTCCCTGATCCTAGAAACCGTTGCTAGGTGGCGCTTTCCCCGTGGAGCTGGGTTTAAAAAAAAAAAAAAAAAAAACTTCGGGCGCTGAGGGGCCGATCTTCAAGAGAAGTGCAAAATTCATCTGCGTCCTTTTCTGGAAACCTCTACACCGCGCCACCTTGCGTGCCCCCAAGGATCGCTGCCAGCGCTCTGGGGACGCATTATCGAGGGGAAGGAAGTTGTGACTCGCCCCAACAGTGCGCAAACTGCCCGAGCCCCCCGCCCGCGCCCCGTCCTCACCTTCTTGATATGGGCCGCAATGTCCTTCTCTATATTATACTTCTCCAATGCCTGAGTAGCACATTCCACCGAGTCCTGTTGCATCTCCTCCGACATATCGGCATTCTTGATTACGGCCTTTCGGTCACACATGGTTACCTGAAGAGCGAGGCCGAGGCAAAGGATGAGGAGTTGGGAGTATGGGCTGAGGCGCAGTTTCCCGGGTCCACTCCGCCCGCCCCCACGCCACCCCGGGACGACGCCCCCCACCCCACTCCTCAGGAAGCGCGGACCGCGCGAACAGAAGGCGGGAGAAGTCCTGCAGGGGACGAAGCTAGAGAGCGGAGCCCCCTGAGTTTCTCACCAAGGAGCAGGGACTGGCCGACTGCAACGGTCTCCTGG